GAAGTGTGAGGGAAGAATGAAAGTTGTTAACCAAAATAGCATGCATAACTAGTTAGGTCGTGGATTAATTATTGAGTATACAGATTTAGGAGATTTAAAGGGAATATCCTTTTAACAGGCTGGGTATTAAAATACTTGCGGTACAATGAAATAAAGATGTCCAGCAGATCCAAGGATATATGGGCCCAGATTTTAAAAAGGTTGGAGCTACAAAGACTTGGGAATCACCAAGAATTTAGCTGATAATTGAAACCATGAGCATAAACAAGACGGCCCAGAGAGTCCTTGCAAAGCAACAGAGCAGGTATCAGGGAATTAAATGTTGTGGAATACCAATGTTTATGGAGCAAACAGCTAAAAAGGAACTAATTAAGAAAGTGAGAAGTAGGTGAGGCAGCAAAGAACTCCTGTAGACACAAAGAAAGCGTCTTGATAGGGACAGAATAGATGTTGAGTGGGATAAGTACAAATAGCCTCTAGATTAAAAATTAGATCACTAACTTCTCTATCTGCAGCATTGCCAACAGACTAGTGGAATGAGGAGTCATATTGCATTTTGGAGATAAATGGGAGGACAGAAAGGAGAGGCAGTTATTCTTTCAATAAATTTGGCAGTCTAAAAGAGCAGAGAACCCTAACTGGTTTGGCTCAATGGATAGAGCGTCGGCCTGGGGACTCAAGGGTTCCAGGTTCGATTCCGGTCAAGGGCATATACCTTGGTTGCGGGCACATACCCAATAGGGAGTGTGCGGGAGGCAGCTGATCGATGTTTCTCTCTCATCGATGTTTCTAACTCTCTATCCCTCTCCCTTCCTCTCTGTAAGAAATCAATAAAATATATTTTAAAAAAAAGTAAAATAAAATAGCAGAGAGAGAAGGTGATAATGAAAGGAGTATGAAGACAGGAACAGGGCAAGATTTTTTGGTTCTTCTTGTTTGTTTTAATTTTATTTAAGGTTTGATTGTTTTTAATATGGGTAAAACTTAAGCATGTCTGCAAGCTATGGTGAAAGAACCAACGGAGAAAGAAAGATCTAAGATATAAAACTGAAGAATTAAATTGATTAGGTAGGTCTCCTAGGTGGTGAAAGTGAAAGAGCTGTAGACAGATGACATTTTCCTTATAAAGGTGAATATGTATACTTCTGAAACTGGGTGAGAAGGGAGAAAGTGATGATGCTTACCTAAGCTATTATAGGTAAGTTTAGAAATGGTAGGAGGGAAGTTGGGAGAGTCTACTACACCATACATCAATACTAATTTTTTTGCAGCAGAGTAGGATTAATTATCTGCTTGGAATGGATGTTCAGAATGGGGTAAGAAATCCCAGGAATCACTAAGGTAAGTAAAGCAAAAAGACACCTGGTAGAAATGAATCTTTTTTGCCATAGACTTTGACCCTGGAATGAAAAACTGGAGCCTCAAACTGAATTGGGTTAGAATTAGGGTCAAAAAGGAGGATTTAGTCAGATCCCTCCTCAATAGAGAACAGACAAGGACTGGGGTAAATTGGGGGTGTCCACAGTGTATTTTGTTCTGACTCAAAGTAATTGCCTCTAGATCGTAAAGTGGCCTTACAAGAACTGAAGTGGTTGAGCTAGAATTACGGGGAAGGGCAGCAACATCCAGAATTAAGGTCTTATCAAGCATCTAAAACATATTCAGTACCACTGAAGGATAAAAACAACAAAATCCCTATTTCCAAGTAACTGCATTTTATGTTATTAAGAGGCATGGAGTCTGAAATGTGTCTCTATGTCCAGCACTATTTTCTCCATACAAAGTGCTTGGAGCATAGCAAGGGGGCTCATACGTGAAACAGAAAAAAAAAACAGAAAAAAAAAACACACAAAAAAAACACAAAAAAACATTTTGACAGACCTTACACTTGCCTTGTCTTTTAGCCCATCACATACTGAAATATGCATAAATATGCTCAATCCCTGCGTTGACCAGATGTGGAGTCATATACAACTGCTCCATGGGTATGGAAGAAAGTAGAGGAGGGTGTCGCTTCTAATTCCTATTTCACCTCCACATAACCACACAGAGGGGAAATCGAGGTTCTATTGTTTCAGTCTAGGTCTGCCAGAATCAAATTTCCTGGGTGCTCTGTATTTTTTAGTTTAGTATTACAATGAGTTCAGCAAAATTGATTCTGCACTATTCTTCTTCTTCTATCATAGAAAATATATCTGTACAAGTGAAAGTAGCTTCATGACAGCCCGAGTGCATTGTATTAGACACAAGTTATAAAAATATAGAATTTTAAAATTTGTATAAATAGTTATGACAGCAAAACCTAAAAGTTGGGTTAATGGCTTTATAAAAATTGTGTCACAAAAATATCATTAATGTATTAAAAGCAATGCCTATACTAGCCACAGTTGAATCGGCATTAAGGAGTACCAACAGTTTTAATAATATGAGTGATAATTTTGGATTCAGAATATTTATCAATTTTGGGAAAAACACCTATTTTTCATCTTTAGAACCTAGCCTTTCAAATCTCCATTAACATCTCAGTGGCAAAAATAAAACATCTGCCAAAATACAGACGACAGCATGAGCAAATGTCCTAATAGTAGACTTTTCGTTTAATGCTTTAACACACTGCCTTTAAACCGCTGGGGCGGCCCCATAAATAAGGATTTTTACATAGCCAGTTACTTCCTCAAAATGGCAACTTGTGTTTTAAAGTAATATATATTTTTAGGAGAAAACAAAACATTTTCTTTAAAGCGAGTAAAATTACTACAATACTTAAGACAATAAACATGTTTTTTAATAATGTGTATCCTTGATTTTAAAAACTCTGAAAAATCATTCAACCATTGACAGTTCATATACTGTCATTATTTGAGTAAGGTTTTATTTACCAGTTTTTGAATTCCACTGAAAATGGTGATGTGCTTTTAATCAAAATATAATTTGACATATGGGGCATGAGGGAGGGATGGAGCATAATAATTCATTCTGCATCTTGTAAACCAATACAGGGGGTTAGAGTTTGCTGTAATTAGATGGAAGGGGTATTTTAGAAAACTTATTTTACTACAAAGGTCAACTGAAACTGTAGTGGCTACCAGTAAATGGCATTTGATTACCAGTCATTTGTAAATGAATCTGAAAGCAAAATGAAAGTCTGAGTAAACAATGAACATAAAAGTCCATGGACTTTCTTCATTCTAGGTTCTAAATTCTGTCTCTCAAATACCTTGGTTTATAACGACTTGTGTTCTAAGGCTGTTAGCATCTCTTCACAGGTGCCCTTTAAAAACTAAATATTAAACACAAACAGAAATCCATTGGTTTATATACAACAATTAACACAGCTCAAGTGCATAAGGCCTCTATTCTGTTTTTCTTTTGTAGGTTATTAGCTAGTACACTAAAACACCATAAATTCTGAATTCTATGACTCTATAGGGACTTGAGCACATTAATATTATATGTAAATGAGTGCTTATTATACATGATCTTAACTATTACTAACAGAATTCCTATCCCCAATAGTACAATTCTAGCAGTTCTTTCTAATCTACTTGAAAACAGGACCCCTGTTTTTAAAAGAATACATGATTTATCATTTTTATTCTTCAGAATAACTTTTGATGCCTGCAGTCTGAATTAGTGATATTTTATCAAAAATTTATAATCTGGTTCAACATGCATTCTGATCAGGAAACAGGTTTCTGAAAGCAGTATTATTTTAGTTATTTTGATAGTAACAGCAATGAGCCATTAATGATAATGACAGGGAACACTACTTTATCTAACATCAACCCTTCAGATAACAGACATAGTGATTATGAACAGCTCCAACGTGCCAGGATTTTCGGAGAATGGGGAAAGTGGTAACAGGGTCTGAAGAGCATCTTGAAAATAGCCAAAGTCACAAGGCTTTATGAACAGCACAGGGAGGCTAATATTCAATTTAAATGTAATTAAGTTCAAATTCTAAAATTAAATATAACAATTGCATGTTTACTGTTACTCAAATTCAATTTGAATCTTAGAAAAAATTCACAAAAAGGCTTTATACATGTGAATTGTGACAGGCACAGCCTATATAGCCACACACACACAAAATTACATTCTTCCCTCAGTTTTTATAAAGCACACATTTTTAAAAAATAGTTTCCAAAAGCTTGGGGCCAAAACGCCTTTAACGTGGAAAAACACCAAATTCCAGTTGGCTGCAAATATGTTTTGACACTAGGGGTTACTGTCTTCTTATTTCAAGCGAAATCTATTGCTGTTAAAAGGTTCCCCCAATACAGGGGGAAACTTGAATGTGCTCTTTGGACTGTTTTAAAGTGGTTGGTGGGGTGGGGAGGTTGAGAGGGTTTCCAGGAAGTCTATTTTTAAGGTTTAATAAATTTAAAAAATAAAATGGAGAGAGGGGAGACGAAAGATTCTTCTGATTAAGTGGTGAGTTGGAAATAAAACCATCGTATCAAGTGTGCCCCCCTTACCTCCTATGTTCATGTGGGAGGGCAAACAAGAAAAATAAATAAATAAATAAATAAATAAGCATCTTGCAGACTTCACCAAAATGCGCACTTCATCGCAAGACGCCTGGCTCTCCCACTCGCCCCTCTTCATCCCCAGTGGATTTAAGCTCCTCGGAGGGAAGAGGGGTGCCAGAGAGGGGGACCCTAACAGCTGCCACCCACTCGCCAAGGAAGGCGCCCTTTCTAGTTATTTTCCGCGCGAGGTGCGCGGTGTGGAGTCTTCCTCCATGTGTGCGTCTGGAGGCGGAGAGCGGGGGAAGGAGATGAGCCCACTGTCACCCGGGGAAGGTGAAGAGGAGGGAGAGGAAGCAAGGAAAGAAGGAAGGGGGCTCCTGAGTACCCGCGGGGCCTCCCACGTTCGCGCCCGGGCGTCCAGGGCCCGCGCGTCCCGCACTGGCCACCCTCTCCAGGGAGCTGCGGGGCCAGCGGGGCGCCGCGGAGGCGGGAGACGCGATCCGCAGAGCCAGGTTCGGGGCCACTCACCGCGGCTCGCTGAGCCCAGCAGCAGCAGCACCAACAGGGGCCACATCGCGCCTGCGAAGGGGCCGCCTCCGCTGCCGCCGCCCGCGTCTGGAGCAGCCACCGCGGGTACAGTCCGGACCCCGCGCCGCCGCCCGTCACGAACAGAACCCCCCGCCCAGGCTGCCGGCCTCGCGCCCGCGAGTCCCAGCCGCTGCACAGCCGCTCGCAGCCGCCGGAGCCGCGCACGCGCGCTCCGCCCCGCCCCGCCCCGCCGCGGAGGCTGCTGACGCGGGGACCCTTGATTCGCGGAGTAGTCAACGTTCCCCGAGGCTCCGCCAAGACCCCCGAGCCGCTCCCGGAAGGTGGCGGAGGCTGCGGTTTGGGGGCCAGCCTCGCCGCGCCCCCTGCATCCCCGCGCCGGGGTCCGGATACCCCTCGCCAAGAGGCTGGGCGTGTGTTCCCTCGCTCACTGCCTCTTCACTGTCCCCGCCTCTCTCCTCCTTCCTTTCTGCTTCTCGCACCGCCCTGGGCCCAGGGATCCTGCCCCCACTGTCCTCTCCTGCTTGAAATGTATTCAAAATGTGGCTCCAAGCCACAGTATAAAGAAGGCCTTTTTAAAAAAAATTGAACTTATCGGGGGTAACATAAGTTCAACAAACCGTGGAGTTTTCAAGTGTACAACTCAATAAAAATCATCTACACACTGCATCCTGTGCCCATTGGTCCAAGCAATGCCTCTTTCTGTCCCCACTGGCCCCCACCCTTTGACCATCGCCACCCCTCCTTTAGCTCTGGCTGTCACCACACAGTGGTCTGTGCTATGCATATATGGTTTTTGACTAATGCCTTCATTTCCTTTCAATATCTCACTGAATGACACAGGGCACATCATTCAAATAGAAGCAAAAGACCTTTTAAAACTGACAGTAACATTTATCCTAAGTGATGAACTCTCTTGTCACAAAGTCAGTCTCTGGTGGCTACTCTAATGGGCTGCATAGCCTGTCTGCTCCTTTGGTTGTTTTTCTCTTACCTGCTGGAAAAGAAAGCAATTTCCCACCACAATACCCCACTTCTCCAAATCCTCTACCCATGGCATCTCCTCCATTGACTCCATCCTCATAGTAATATAACCCAGGAAATTACATTTCCACTCTCAGTGCATTATATACTATGTAACTGTTCATGGTTTCCTTGTGTAAACCTCTTTCCCTCAACATTATCATTGCTTTAAAATTGGAGAGTTTTTTAAGTATTCCCTCCTCTAAGACTTCCCATTCAACAGGGCAAAATGAAGGAGTTTAATAAATGTGTCACTGTGACTGGAGGCAAGCATTGCTCCAGTGAAATTTGATAGTTTTATTTTTTTTAACGATTAAAAAAAGAAAGGAAAAGAGACATCTCACTAGCACAATGGTTCATAATTATGGTGGTCATGATGTGAATGGCCACTTAGACACCCTGAGGCTACCAAAGGGACTGTTGGATTCTCCTCCAAATGCTGGGTATATGGATATGAAAGAATCACCCACCAGACTTAGAGCATTGGGACACTGTGTACCACAGGGCAGCTGCTTGGCTCCATAAGGCTGTCAGCTGTCCCTGAGACCAAAGGACCCCCTAACGCTGAAGCATGGCCAGGAAGGACTGTCCACAACCTTCACACTTAGAGTTGGAATGATGCTCTGTTTTATACTGGGAGCTGCTGAGGCTAAGTCCCTGATGTAGTTTTGTGCAGAATATGGAGTTATCTTGCCCTAGCGGATGTGCTCAGTGGTTAGATTGTTGACCTCAGCACAGAAGGGTTGTGGGTTCAATCCCCGGTCAAGGGCGCCTACCTGGGTTACAGCTTCATTTCCCAATCCTGGTTCAGCCCCATAGGGGCAGGTGCCTCTCTCACATGTATATTCCTCTCTTTCCTCCTTTTCCTCCCTCTTCCCCTCCCTCCCTCCTTTCCATTCTCTCTTTGGAAAAAAAAAAAAAATCAATGGAAAAATATCCTCTGGTGACGATTAACAAAAAAGAGAAAATTGATTTCTCTTGTCAGATGAATAATAGGCCACCTGGGTGACCACCTCAGTTCTTGGGAATCAGCTGGGAGGTATTTTGATGGTGGGGCAAGAGGAGGCCTATTCTAGGAGACAGAATCCAAAGGAAGCATCCTAGGTTTGATTAGCTTCTCCCTGAGATAACTTTCTCCAGTATCTAACTGTTTCTGTTTCCCTTTTAACATTTCCAAGCATTTTTATTTGGATTTTGAGCTCTTCTTATCTTTACATAAGGGGTTTCTTGGGTGGAAGGTGAGAGAATAATGTATATTAGAATATTTTGAACAAAGGTAATTCACATTCAGTTTATTACTAAAATTAATCTTCATAACAGCCTTGGAGTGCGTATTATGATCTCCATTTTAGTGATGAGGAAACAAAGGGAAAGAGGAATAATGAGCATTTTGCCCATGATTATATGTGATAATTTCCTCTCTCTGTCTCTCTTGTTTGCATCTACCTTCCTGAGCTCTTTTTTCCATTTTTTTTCTTTTCACCTTAAACATCTAATTATCTCTTCCATTTCACTTTGTTTATGCTGCTAATGAAATGCATCTATATATTTCTTTGTACATATCTGTCTACCTTTCTATCATGTTAGATAGGAGAAAATGAAATGTTTCCAGGGTATATTTGTATTTTCCAGGGTCTGTCACAGTGCTTGGTCAAGACCTAAAAGCTCTGTGTGTGTTGAATGAAGCAAGAAAATCTGTGTGATGTGTAATATTACAGAAACACTTTAGCCCAGGTTTGAGTTTACATCTCCAACCATGCACTACGGTTAACCTTGGACAAGTTACTTAACACGTCTGAACCCTCCTTTCCTCATTTGTGAAGCTAAGTGATGAAAATAATAGAAATTATTCCTTAAATTGCCTTGAGAATTTACCGTTAACACTTTTATAGCTACATAGAGCAGTGCTTGTTGTACAGTAAGCACACAATCAATATTACTTCCTATTATTAGAGTCTCCTTATAGTGAGATGTGTCTCTGAGAAGGACAGGGAAAATTATTGTCTAAAGGACCACCAATTGCTGATCTGAAACCCTGAAGAGGCACTGGGATTGGGCCAAGTGTGTACAATTTTGATTCAAGCCAGAGGCACAAGTCTGTGCTCAGCAGATAGCCGTTAGTCCACATGTTCTCCTATACACTCTGTTGTTGGTCATTCAACACTGAGGGACCCACATCCTTGATACCTGGCTCAGGACCCAGTGTCCTAGGGTTTATTTAAACTTGACCCGCTCAGAAAAGCACAGTTGCCCCAGTCATCAAATAACGCAGTGTAGCAAAGAGTGTCTGTGCTCAATAGGCCAGGACTGGGATTAGATGGTTAGACAGCTGGAAGATATTGGCATGTGGTTAGAGAGATGGATTTGGTTTAGGGAAACAGAAGGAAGGCTCCAGTGGCAGGAAATGATCTTCCTGGCCTGTGCTTCCATGAGGGAAAAATATTGGAAACAGAAACTCCAAATAGCAGGAAGCAGGACTGAGGGTTTGGGGGAGGGGATATTCTACCGGAGGGATAAGGGTGCAGGGATAAGGGTGCATTTCCATGGGGAAGTCCTTGTGCCCAGGCTTGATTTGCCCAAGTTAGGCACAAGCACAGCTCTTCCCAGTCCCCCTGCTGCTGTTGCTGGAGGCTGCTCAGATAGGGGGCCCACACTCACCACAGCTGGAAAGCACTAGAGAGAGCCAGCTTCTCGGTTAGTTGTAAAACCGCAGCACCTGCATTTCTGTGAGAGCACATCATCTTTGGGGTCCTGGGAAGCCCTCTCTGTACCTTGCCTAACTGTCCCCTTTGGAGACACATAACATGCATGTAGAGGGTGCTTACTATGCACCAGGACCTCATCATGCTGTAGTGTTTACTGTCTGTTGCTGCCAGAAGAAATTACTACAAATTTGGGGGCTTAATATGATACCCATTCATTATGCTACAGTTGTGCAGGTTAGAAGGGCAATGGTTTCCCTGCTTCTGGTCTCCCATGGCCAAAATCAAGGTGTTGCCTGGGCTGCATTCCCTTCAGAAGGCTCCAGGGAAGAATCCATCTTCAGGTTCATTCAGGCATTTGGCAGAATTCAGAGTCTGTGGGACTGAGGTCCCCATTTACCTTCTGGCTGCCATCTTGGAGGGGGTCAGCATGGTCAGGCTGGCTTTGGGTAACTGTGTGTAGCACCAATGATGCATTAAAGCCTTCTCTTCTGCCACATTTCGATGACGGACTCTTCTTCCTCCCCGTCTACCTTACATATTCTAGTGATTAGATTGGGTGCCTCCGGGAATCCAGGATAATCTCCCCATGTTTAGGTCTCTAACCTTAATCACACCCACAAGTGTCTTTAGCTATATAAAGTAACACATTTGAAGATCCCCAGGGATTAGAGCTTGGAAGTTTTGGGAGGCATTATTCTGCCTACCATACTTAGGTTCTTTTTATATTTGTCTCCCTGGATCCTTAAATGACCCATAAGGAAAGTGTTGTTATATTCAAAGCACTGTTATACCCAACGTGCATATGGAGAAACTGAGGCCCAGAGAGGCTCAGATCTCAGGTAATAAATGGTGGAGCTGGAGTATGTCTTGCTTCTGAGCTCAGGCTCCTTCCTCTGCCTGAATGAAGGAATGTCAGAGGCAAAGCAATTTTGTGGCAGTCAGTCCCTCTCCTTGAAGTTCCCTCTGTTGCTTCATTAGTGCCGCTTCTCAACTCAGTGAGGTGGTCCCCACTGTGGCCACCAAGTTTCCAGCTCTCCTCCTAATAGCACGATATGTGTATCCACTGATTCTCAGCAGAAAACAGATGGCATGCCCAAATGAAGATGCTGAGAGGAGATTAATAAAGGAACTGTTTACAAGGGAGTGCACAGGGTTAAGGGAAAGTGACAAGGAAAGGAGAAGTGTTGTTAGCTAACAGCAGCTGTTGTCCCCTTGTCTCTAGTTCTGGAGGTGCAAGGAGAAGAGTGGTTAGGAGAACCCTGAGAGAACGGAGAATCTAAGGGGGACTGTGGGGCAGGAGTTCGGGGCCTTCGGTAGAGGAATAGCCACTAGCAGCCTGGCAGAGAGGAAGGTAGCCAAAGAGCCAAGGAAATACCATTACTCCACTCTCCACCCACCTTCCAAACTTCTGCTCTGGACAAATCTCAAGCAGAAGTTAGACGGAAAGAAATCTGTTCATGTAGTTCTTAGAGTTTGGGTTTGCGGGGTTAGAGTATGGAAAGGAAATTGGGTGTGATAATGTGACTTGCTTTGCCCAGTGTGCTAGTTTTTTTTTTTTTTTAATTAAATCTTTATTGTTCAGATTATTACATTTGTTCCTCTTTTTCCCCCCATAACTCCCCTCCTCCCAGTTCCCACCCCACTCTCCGCCCTCACTCCCCACCCACTGTCCTCATCCATAGGTGCATG